TTCCCCACTGAGCCCATTTGGCCAGGAACACCTCTCTATAGCTAACACTTTAATCATTGACACAGCAGTTTTTTCCTCTCATCTGATACTCTGTGAGACCATCCATTTTTCTGCTGATATTAAGTCTCAGGGAGTACATTTGACTCGACTCTTTCTCAGCTGAAGGGAGAAAGTGTGTGCTACCCCTTTTCCAGGTTCTAACAGCTCCAGTCAGCTGGCCACCTGTTCAGAACCTGTCCCCTAGAACAGCCTAAAATATATTTTCTCAAGCTTCTCTTGCTCCCTGGGTCCCACAGGTCTGCAAGCAAGCTCAAGCCATTACTGATGAGACTCCTTTCAGAAATCTCACTTTTCCTCATTCCAGGCTAGGGAACCCTTTTCTTCCAAGTTTTGGCTAATTCCCTCTATGTGCCAATTACTCATTTAGACTTGATTGAAGTTCACACAATTGTTAATTGTCAAAACTGCAATCTGCTATTTGTAAATCCTAGAAGTCCGAACTGAAACATTAGACAGGTCAGCTGTTGCCTTCATGACACCAGAGTCACAATCTGCTATGAGCTCACTTATATCATGTTATCCCAAAGATATCCATTCAGCTGGACCTCAGACAAGTGCTTTTTTGTTTCCCTTAACAAAATATGTTGGTTCAGCAATGTAAGCAAAATGTAAAAGAAAAGGCCACCATATACTTATTTTCTATCATGTTTTGTATCTTTTGCATTATAAAAAGTTACATGCTTTTAAAAGCACAGCCTATGTTATCTACATGCCTTTGGGAAAACCACACTTGCTGGTTTTTGTTCTCATTCATGTAATTTAACTCTTAATTGAACTAATGATGTGAATTGAATTTAAACTATTTTAATGTTTTCAGTTGTTGAAGTTGTCTTTAAAGTATTACAATTTATAAGCAACTCAAAACCACCAGCAGTTGAGTTGATGATGCCTTGAAAATGTAACTTCAGCTAATAGATTGTAAGCTTCTCTAAAAAGACAGTCCATCAGTGTGGGGGGTCTTCTGTGTGTAATTGGGAATCTCTGCTGTAAAAAACTGGCCAGATGGATTTAAGTCACCCAATTTGGTAACATGAGGCTAATAATGAATTGCTATATGAATATATCCTACTCATGAACTGTTAACTAGAAACTATAATATCCAAAACATTTACCTGCTCTTTCTTAAGTCTGATTTCTGATATGCATTAGATTTCCTTTTTTTACTTCAAATTCAGGATCAGAGACATTCCAAATCAGAAAAAGGTCTGTACTGCATAAACACTGTATATCACTTTAGACTCAGAATCACTTGTATCATTGTTAGCTAAATTTAACATCAACATGACATTATTTGGAATGGCGCAGGTCATGAACTGGGCCTAGTAAATGATTACACAGTTACAGAAGTATCGACATAATACTCTTCCAACATTTTGTGGATTTATTGTGAGCATTATGTTCAAAACATGGTTTCTGAGGTGTTAGATCACTATGGGAGATATTGCGCTAGAACCTAACTTTGGTTCGAAAGTCCTTAGCAGGGATGCTCTACACACCTGCTTAAATATAATCTATTCTCATATCATATAGTGTTTATCTCTTTGACGTAGGTGACGACAATCTAAACAATTGAAAAAGAAGTGGGGTGTTGGCCAAGCCCTCACATAACCCTGATGTGTTCCTGGAAATGGGACCCAAGGTGTTAGACTTAGCTTTCAGCCATTCATTCTTTTCATACCTAGTGATGTTCCTGAATTGAGGGAGACTAAGGGATTGTATCTACTAAAAGAACATAATCTGTTTCACTGAGGGAGGAGTGCAATGTAATACTTTCAAGCAGCCAATTACACTGATGTTATAAAATGGATATGGAAGACTTTCTAGCACTCTTAGCAAGTAAAATATACCTTCAGTCACCGAACAAATTCTTAGAAATCTTAATGACAGACGTCTGGAGAAAGATCTGAAACAGAAACCTGTAGAGGACTGAAGACTGACATTTGCCTGTCAGATGAACTGAATATGTATACAGTATGTTATCTTTCACTATGCTAGGCCAATACCACAGTTTTTACATTAGAATACAACTAGAAAAAAATCTATTATAATAAGGCTTAATCTTGCATAAAAAATGATTACCTCAGTTTTCACACCATTTCAATTACCCAGATGATGGAAGACCCTTTTAATTCATGAGTCAACATGCAAGGCAACAATTTAACATAACATAAAATACAACATGTCTCATAAATAATCTCCTAATTCTACAACAAAATAATTAAACACTTACATCAAATGTCAAAGCAGTGTGTTTGTGAGCCCTGCAGTCATGTGAAAGAGAAAACACTGCAGTCACTGAGTTGTGGTCACAGGAAATGAATTTGCTATTTCAAACTCCACTTTGGCTTTGCGTATTGGAGTACAGGCCTCTTTCCATGATTCTGCATAGCCACGTACTTCCAACGTGTGCAATCACAGAGGACAATCAGAACAAGCTCCTAAACTGCAAAGACTTCACCTTTTACACTCTTGGAGGAAAGAACACATAAGAGCACTCAAAGGTGTTCTGAAAACAACTTGTGTGAATGTCAGATTTGCTGGCTGATGGCAAATTACAACTTCCCTCTAATTGTGACGCATAACATATGTGCAATTTCAAAATAAATTTCATTGAAGGTTTCCTAGGAGTACTTTGCATGCAGTTCAAAAGGTGAATGCATTTATGAGTAAGCACTTTATTTTAATTGGGACTGCGCTTATTTAAAAAGTTCTAGAAGAAAGCAGTGCCAACAAGCAACTGTTCTCTAAAAAAATATATCAACAGCAAGATATACAGTACCAATTGATTTTATGTAGTCATTTTGCCTTCAACAGACATTCAGGACAAAAAAGTTCCAGAGCAATTGTACGTGCTTTAAATAAATAATTCAATCATCTTTAAAGTGTTGCTTTGTTCAGTGTTGCTTGTACTAAAAGGAGTAAAACATCAGAAAAAAAACAGAAGTTGATGGGTAGTTGATGCATGATGGATAGGTCTCCTGCTGTGTTTCCAGGTTGTGTGATACGCAGATAAAAGAGCTTTGAACTTTTAGTAGAAGAAATATATATTCCCTCGCCAGTCCAGCCCATGCATATTGTCTGTGGGGAATTCAGACTAGCACCATCTTACCTCACTCCCACAAAGAGAGGCTCCTCTTTACTGTGATAGCCGTGCTGTCTCCACTTGTCCACAAAGCAGGGCACCAGGGAGCAAATGGCCTTTGGCCAAAATGTTTAAAGTATCCCTTCAGCAAGTAAACTGCAGGTTTTTTCCATAGAAATAACAACAATAATTAGAGTTTGATGCTCCTATTTCTGTTTCACGTTCCTATTCTTATCATAGGTAAAAGAATACATCAAATTACTGGTTACTATATTCTATACCTTTCCAATTGTTACCATTTTCTGAAAGCTAATAAAGAACTGCTCGCATATTTTTCTTCTTCAGAGTTTCATTTTCTTTATATACACATTGGTGATTTAGAATGACCAATTCAGAGCATGCGTAACAACATACTACATACTGGGTACCAAAAAACAACGAACCCTAAAATTCTAAAAACGTTTGGACTCGGACAGAAATGATTCTGTAATATCTGAACATTGGGAGAAACAAAATCATTCCTTTCTCCTTCTAAAAATTAGCCTGGACACAAAGTTCGAACACTATCTGCCAGGTACTTCAAGGTGTAAAATAAAATGTTAACAAGATCCTTGACTGTGAAATTATAAGGTGCTGTTTAGACAATGATTCAAATTTTACCTCTCATACACACAAAATGCTTTCAAACTCTCCATTTTACCTCTCACATTCATATAAAATCCTCTCACACTCTCCATTTTACCTCTCGCATATGCAAAAAACGCTCTCATATTCACTAGTTTTACCTCTCACATCCACAGAAAACGCTCATTTACTCGTTTTACCTCACACATACACACAAAATGCTCTCACATTCACTAGTTTTACCTTGCACATACTGTATACATAAAACACTCCTTAACAATGTGAACTTGAGAGTCAAAACTAGTGAATGAGAGTGCATTTTATATGTGAGAGGTAAAACTAATGAATGCGAGAGCATTTTGTGTGTGTATGTGAGAGGTCAAATGGAGAGTGTGAGCATTTCACGTGTGTGAGAGGTGAATTATGACCCAATGTAGACGGTCTGTCTAATTGGCACAATGTGATTGGCCGAATAATTTTCTATTGTGCTCCAAGATGCATGAAAGAAATCAATCTCACCAGTCAAAAGCACTAAACCAAGCTATATCTTTAATTAATAACATCTTAGCCACACCAGAAGCAATAGCTTCATTGTCATCAGCTATGACGCCCGCGATTAATGTTATTCCATCAACACAGCATGCAACTACCGAAGCCAAAATAAGTACTTTATTTCGACATAATGGTGGTGTTGCCAACTAGTGAATGTGACAGCGTTTTGTGTGTGTGTGAGAGCAATTTGTGTGTGCATGAGATTGGCATTCCATTCAGCATATATCCTGCCTTGCACCCTCTGCTTGTCCCTATAGGCTCCAGCTCCCCTGTCTTCCTATATAGGATAAAATGGTTAAAAAACAAATGGATGGATGGAACTATTTAAAATCTGCAGTACAAAATTTATATTCTTGCATTGTATTAATTTGTAGTACTTACCACATTTTTTCTGATTTTTTAGATTTCTCATAAAAACTAAATAAAATTATAAAACCTTAATTTAATCAGCAACTTTCCCAAATTTCTTTATAACATGTTCATGGTCAGTTTAAACATTCCGTTTTAACAAAAGACAAAGACTAGGTTATGATAACCTAAAAAATGTATACAGTACATTGGCATACAGTATGAAAAACTACAACTGTGACCTACACTAATACTACTTTCATCTCATTATAACTTTATAACTCATATTAAAATAATCATCAAGATTAGCAGAAAAACAAAGGAAAGACCAATACAAAATGCAATTATTTATTTAGCTTATTCCCTTGACTGTCAAGGGAATAAACTGTATCTGTCAAATATACAAGATACTTTTAACTTTAACTTAACATGGCAAAAATACCCAGGTACCCAAGACTTTACTTGGTTTGATCCATTCTTATACATTTCATGTATAATTAGTAATTTTATTAATGCTAAAACACATGCTTTTTTATTGTTACTTAACACACTACTGTTAATCCATTAAGAGTTCAGTGGAAGAATTGAATGACTCTTTCCTACTGTTTTCTGAAGTGTTTCTTAGTGAGTTCTTGTAATTTTCAAAATGTTTCTATTTCGAGAAATCTGTGTTACAAGAAGAAGAAGAATCAGCCAGCTGGGAAAAGTTTGATGAGATGTGGCGCTGCAGTCACAAAGAAGTGAGCCAGTCGTCATTTAAAGCCCTGATGAATACTATGGTGTTCACTTCTTCATTGGCGGGATAAAAATCATCCCCTCCAACCTGCCCACATTTTCCAAAATCTCGTTCCTGCAGGCTTGCTGCAGTTCACACAGCTCTGCCTGAAAGTCAGCTTCCATTTCCTGCAGCGCCTTAATGGCTTGGGAGGCTGGGAGTTCTCCTGATTGCACTGCTTTTTCAGAGAAAGGCTGTTGAGGTTGGTGCTCTCTCAGAACAAGCCTGAAGGTGGTATCTTTAAAACATTTGTTCTGCACTCCATGTGTCCTCAGAGCACAAAGTTTCTGTCTGACTTTCTCTTGAAGATTTGCAAAAGTGTCTCCAAACTCCACAGAAGAGTTAAGTGCATCTGGACATTTCTTTTCCATCTGCTGCAAATGGGAAAAAGAAAGAAAACAATAAATAACACTAATTTCTCACAAGGTTGAACCTTAATAAATTAACCTAAATTACGATAAAGCAGTGTTACTGGTTCAACATGAAACAGCAAAAATTCAAAAGCAAAAACATACCGGACTGTAAGCACTTAGAATTAATTTCTCTAGTTTTTGCTTCAAATAGGATAATGCAATACTACTACAACTAATAATAATAATAATAATAATAATAATAATAATAATAATAATAATAATGCTTTAATAAATGTATAGATTAAATTGTTACATTGTTTTTAATGTACAGTAATCAAACTGAATTTTTTAAAAAGGGTTTTTGTCTGCTTTTCCTTTTGCCATTCAGATATACTTTCAGAATAAAATGAACCTATCAGTTCAAAATAGAGACATTTGTGATCACATTCTTACTGAAAATTGTAATATACTGTTTAAGTATCAGAGTAACCAGACAATCTACATTAGTGTGTTGTGTGGAATGGACAGCCTAAAGCCTGCATTTAAACACTGCTCACTGATGCCCATGCTTACAGAAATATTGCCCATCACAGTTAAGAACATGAAAAACCTGAAAAGCACTTAATCAATTCACTTAGCAAAGTAACAAAAACAGATTTGCTCATCTTGAAAAGTGTTAAACTGCAGTGATAGTGACCATGGATGATGGCTGTGGATGAGCATGAATACCTTACTGCTGTGAAATGAGAAGGGGCTGAGGACTATGGAGAGTTTTGTCTACAGACAGCATTCACCCCAATAACAGAATGAGCAGATTTACGAACCGTGAAGGCTGGAGATCGTAACTTTAAGTGAAGGTACTAGTGACCATGGCTAGTTATTGACTTATAGTAGATTTTATAACAATTAATCACATATCTCTGCGATAGACATGACTGAGTCAGTGGTAGGATCTGAAGATCACTTTACTTTATGTTTTAGGTAGCCTTAAAACCAGGGTGTGCTATGCAGAATCAGGGTGCTCATATTCCAACCTGGCCATTTTCAAAACAAAATATTTTCTTTCTACATTCTTACTGTATTATTTTTAGTAAAGCAGAAGACTAACATAAGATTAGACACTTGCACAATCCAGAAAAAAAATACATTTTAACTTGAAATTATGATGATATATTAAATAGGAAAATATATAATTGCAAAACAAGATTAGGCGACCACTTATTTTTACAATCTCAAAGATAAAAGCACACATACAGGGAAGAGGACTGGAAGATTGCTGGTCTTTTATCTTTGGATCCCAGACTGCTCATTTTTTAGTTGCAATCAAAAAATGTCTGTGTGTGTTTCTTTAGCCAAAGCCTATTCAAAGCAAAGCAATATCCACAACACGCAATATCTTCCTAATATTAGTCTAATATTAAGCATCAGTTATGCTGAGTTCTCTGTACCAGCGTCTCTAATCAGTTATGTTGTGAAAGGAAACAACTAGAATAAACATGCATATCCATTTGCTTCAGCTTAATTTGTATACAACAGTGGCTTGAGGAACTGCAGTGGTGTGCCTCCACGTTTCTGACTAGTCAAATAGGTACCACTATGACAATAATAAAATCAATGATTAAAATATTTAACATTTTAATTATTTTTAGTTAGTTTTATCTGCTTTTGTAAATACCTTGTCTAAATAAAGGCAGTACTTGATTTATATGGGAGACGCATTCCTGAAAAACACTATGTAAATTAAGAACGAATGTATTGCAAGAACACAAGAATGTGTGCATTACAGGCCCAATCTCAACAAAGGCTTTAACTCCCAAATAAAAACAATTATGCCTATTTTATAAGATGCTTACATACAGTAATTGTACTAAAAGTTAGTTTCAAACAAACTAAATGTTTGCTAATGTTAATCAATTTCATATATAATGTGAAGGGAAGACGTGTTCTCATGTGTTGTGGTGGATGGTGAATAGTGTTAAAAATTAATGAGTCATGTGCCCATAAGTGCATCGAGATTGAACAGCTATCTTTGGTCCTTTTTTCTCTATAAGCCTTTTAAATACCCTTTATTTTAATGGGATGAATGCATGTGACAATGTGAGATGAACAGTGGCCGAAGGACCACTGAGCTAAACATCGCCCAGTTGCCTGTGTGTCACCCACACATTGATGTAAACACTCTACCAAATTCACTCTAACTGGCGTTAGAGTCCAGGGCGTTAAAATGAGAACTACTAGTGTCCAAAAATGAGAATTGGTACACTGATCCAAAAACATACAAATTCAAATCCACAAAGTTTTTCCAAATCAATATTCCGCACCTGAGAAGAAACATGAGAATACGAAGCACATACAGTTTGATACTTAACACAAATTTATATCTCCTATTTTTAGCATAAAACATGTATTTTTTGTATGGCCTAGTCTTTAAGTAAAAAAAAGAAAAAAATAGGGTTATACTGACTTCTCTGATATGTTTAACATATTTTACTATACAGTACACTGTATATACAGGGCAATAAATTGTTTAAAATTTGAATACTAATTTGTTAAGCTTTTCGTAACTTAATTCAAAGATAGCAGCTACAGATGGCTGTTTTGCTTCATAAGCGGGACAATCCCAAGTTTGACCAGAGAAGCAAGCATATACTGTACATGTATTTTACAAAGAACAAAGGGTTATGGTGTTTTTTTGGTTTAAAAAATAAATAGTGGCTATATATTGTGACAATATGAATATTAATTCATTCTGAACGTTTCATAACACTAAACACCAAAAACATCTAAACATCTAGATATCTAATTCCAAAGTCGGTTTTCAAATGTTTACTCCAGGTTAAAAATAATACATGAAAACAGCCATAAAAGAAAAATAACTCATATAAGTTACAAGATGGGATTGTAATCAAATGTCAGTTTGTGTGTCATTGCATTTGTACAGGTCTGCTGCTGTCAACTTAAACTGCAATGCTTTTTGTTAGAATTCAGCAGCACAAAAATGTGACTGCTGCAGCTATTGATTTAAAATCGATAGACTTATATCTACTATACTATATTGTTTAGCAATTCTGTTACTGTTAACTATCTTAATACATTTAAACCAATATTGTAATAAATGAATATGTACTGTTTATTTCAAACATTAGTTATAGTGAGATATGTACGTACTTTTAACTATTAAATAAATAATTACTTATGACTTATTTCAATTCTGAGAAAATAACTAATCTAATTGCATTTAATTTATCTAGGTTAGAATGGCAAAAAGGCACAGTGGCTAGCACTGCTGCAGAGCTAGGTCCCTGGGTTCAATTCCAGACCAGGGATATTATCTGTGGAGCAAAAGGAAGACAAAGAACTAATTAAATAAAAACTTTTCTGAAGAACACAGTTTTGAGTCTGAATTTGAATGAGCTCAGGGAAAGTGACTCTCTGATATTACTGGGGATAGAATTCCAGAGCTCTGGGGCAGAACAGGAGAAGGCCCTGTCACCCATAGTATGTAGATGAGCTTTGAGGATTAACAGGAGACCAGAGTTAGACAAATGAAGGTTGTAAACTGAGGAGTAAAAAGATAGTAAATCAGATTGGTGTGGAGGTGGTAAGCAATAAAGATCCTTAGAGGTGAGGAAGGGGATTTTGAAGTTGATACAAAACCTGATAGGAAGTCAGTGCAAGGATTCCAGCACAAGTGTAATGCAATCACTTAAACATGAACAGTGTTGTTCAGTGTGGATTAAGATACCCTGGTGAGTAGGGTGTTGTAGTAATCAATTCTGGAAAGACAAATGTGTTGACAAGATTTTCAGCTACAGTCAGAGACAACACAGGACATAGTCTGGTGATATATTTGAGATGGAAGAATGATTTTTTTACAATTCTTTGAACATGTGGGTCAAATGTGAAGCCTGGATCACATATCACTTCCAAGTTCTTCAATTTCGATTGAAATTCAAGTAGCAAGCCATTCACAGACAGTGTACTGCATTGGCTTGACATATTTGATAGGAGGTGCCAAGAACACGACTTTAGTCTTGTTCTCCTTATATCTGCATGGATTTCCTCCAGTTTTCACAGTCCAAAAACTTACTGGTGGGTAATCTGGCTTCTATAAAAATTGGCCCTAGGTGAAAGTGTGTGTTTGTCTGTGTGCCTGCCCTGTGATGGACATTCTTAAAAGTAAGCTACAGTATATGAACATTTGCTTCTTAACCACCACATATATATACACATCACTTATAGATAAACCATGCATTTAATATGCAAATCAAATTTGTAAAACTGACTGAACACCTGGATAAAAACATTCACATAATTTTATAGTTTACCTTAAAGAACATGCATTCACTAATTAACCAGCCCTCCTCATAAAAATCCTCCCACTGACAATTACTGCTAGTGAAAAAACTAAGTATTCCAAAACATTCAGAAATTAAAAAAGCCACCCCCGCCATTACAGAAATAGCCCTTTCTCTTCACATGCCTTTCCCACTCACTCTCATTAACCGTGACTGTGTGGGTCTCCTGTAGAATGCAAAAATGACGTGTCTGAATTTGAGTGTTTTGTGTCCCACTAAACTGAAGGATGCTAGACATGAATTAGTGTACCAAGGACAGTAAAACAAATGTGTAGACAAAAGAAAAATGAGCAGAAAGGCCATGATACAAATGTACCGCAATGGTCTAATTTTGCTATGGGAATTATTCAGACATCTTCACTCAGTCCCTGTTCAGGCAGAGTGGTGTCTGAGTTGCAGCATGACTTGATGGTAAAACTGAATTTGAACATCAGGTGTTGAACACAACACATGTTGTGATATTCCAGGGTAGGATAAGAGCAGTGATATTTGTATTGCCTTTTTATGATAGGCAGTACCATAAACCATTCACATTCTAACAATACTGGTAACTATTATTGCCCAGCACAGCCAATGCTGATGCAGGTGTTTCAATTTTACATAAACACAGAAGAACAGAAATATAGCTCTGTATATCACCGCATCTGAATTACTATAAATCAT